CTCTCACACCTGTTCTCCCACCTATTTATGGTATTTCTTGCGTGCTGATGACGTTGGTACTTAAAAGCTATTTCTGTATACAACATACATAGGAAATGCACAAGAACGTAAGTTGTCTCATCATAACTTCACCTGTTAAAAACATCACTTGATGCTGTCTTCCAAGAATTTGCACTTATAGGACACAAGGTGAATCACTTGCCTGGAAATTGTCCTTCTCCTTTTAAAATAAGTCTTATTTTGGTTCACTTTCATGCTGAGGCAGTTGGCTGGAACTGAGAAATTTAGATCTGAATGCAAACTTCAGCTATCTTATAAGCTGTTGAAATCCCAAGGTTGTAGACAGCCAGGATGACTTGAGCTCACATTTCTCTAAACTGTGATTATGTTTAGACACAGTGAGTGACAGACTTGTGTGATGCAGCATGGGCTGTTGAAACAAACCTGGATCAAACCTGCCCCACTGGGCCTGCTACAACTGTGCACAGACAAAGTGAGGGTAACAAAAACCAACGTCCCTGACATTATTTGTTTCCATGGCACCTGTTTGGGCTGTTTCGTGTAGTTGAGTTTGCAGAACAAAACAGATTGGTAGCTGAGAAGAAGAGCAGAAGCTGAGAATTTCTGAACTGTTCTGTGCAATCCCCACGCCAGAGACAGAGACTGGGGGGCAGGCAGGAACGGGGAGGTAAAGGAGAATGCCCAGTCTTCTGCCTGCTCCACAGCCATCCCAGAGACCCAGTGAGATCACCAAGTGCTTAAAATCCACCAGTTCCTTTGGGAGCCCTGCCTGTGCCTGTGCTGCTTAAGGACAGGAAAGGTTGGGATTGTTTGCTGCCTCAAATGAAAGCTTGCTGATGCTGATGATCTGTTCTATTTCCATTGTTTGAGCTTTCTTTCCTTCAAATGATTTTCTCATCATAATCTAATGACCTTATTCAGCTTAACACAGTGGTTCTAAAATTCATTTCTCACAGAATCTCCCGCCCATACAGTATTGTTACAGGTCTCTGTGCTCTTACACTTGGAAACAATTTTTCCACATAAAGAGACATTGTTGCTTCTCCTTGCAGACTTGCACTGAAACCATTGTTCTGTTATATCCCAACATATTATAGTGCTGATGGTTTCCACAAACCAACTTTCTTTGGAATAACTTTGCATGGAATTTCACATTTTAAATGCCATAATCAGTAACTTGTAGACCGGCGCCAAGCTGCTCCCCACTAAAATTTCACATTAAACAGTGCTGCTTCAGCTCCCTCCAAACTTACAACTACAATCCATTTCCCATTCTAATGAGATTGCAAAGGAGACATTTCAGTTGTTGGTGTTAAATTAATGTTGCAGGCAATTTACACTTCTGTGGATAACTGCTGCTGAGATGTTTGTGCCATTTATGATGTCTGTGCAAATGGTCAAAATATTGAACCTTACAATCAACATTCGTAATTACACGGGACGCCGCTAACAGAAGAGCTGCAATTTCACCAGCAGCACAAGGAACATCAGGCCGCTCACCCCAAATCATCTCATTTTTATCAAGGCAGGATTTGCCCTCCTTCCTACACTGTTAATCTTTCAGCTTCACTGAAATCTCCCCTGTGCAATATACAACGTAAAGCTGGTACTTTCTCCCTTTCTTCCAGTATTGTTGTCCATTTCTTTACTGGAATGTAAATTTAATGAAGTTGCTGATGGCCTTCTCATTTGCCTCTTCCATCACTCGCCTTTCAAAAGGAAAGCCAAAATTAACAACCTATCCTACAGTTCAATCAATTCCAGCCTGCCAAAACAAATGCTGTAGGTAAAAAATGAGGAGCTCTTGGTTCCTTTACTTTGAATTTGTTCCTTCTCCCTCTCAGTATTCTGTTATCTGAACCACAGAAGAGATTCAAGTATGATGAAATTTGTTCTTCTTCCCTAGAATCAACAGATTTCTGTCTAGGCATACAAAGTCCCTTGGCTGTATCATCCTGCACATATTCCAGTGTGTTACCATGCTCTTAAGGCTAATGTCTGCTAGAGGATATTTGGATTTCTCTCCTACACTGAAACCATAGGGTAAGTTCTTCAAGTGATAGCAGGTGGCTGTTTGCTGGCAAACTCTCAGTTCCAGAGGGCATTAACATGCTTTGCGAGTGATGTGCTGCATTTTCAGCCAGAGGTCCTGATCAGGGTCAGGGTCCCACTGTACCTGGCACTGCACAAACAGGAGTAAAGCAAAGCCTTCTCTTTGTAGGTGTTCAAAAACAAGCTGCAGCAGTCAAGGCCGGGAGGAGAAGGAAAATACTGATCTCCAGAGCATTCCACCATCTCAGCACTTGTGCACTCACCAGGAATGAGAGAAACACAAACCCAAGCCCTTGCTATGCCTGAGTCTTGTCCCTGGGTCACCCAAGTTAAATGCTATGACTTTAAAAAAAAAAACAAAAAAACATTTCTGGCTCAGTCTTTCTATTAGGGAGCATCTTTTTTATTTTATTTATTTGTATAAATAATGGCTCCTTGTGGCTAAGAAGGCCAATGGTATTCTGGGGTATAAAATGAGTATGGCCAGCAGGGTGAGGGAAGCGATCCTCCCCCTCTGCTCTGCTCTGCTGGGGCCTCATCTGAGCTCCCTAGTTCAGGGAACTACAGGAGAGAAGGCTACAAAGATATCTGGGGCCTCTGCTTTAGCAGAGGGGATGGATTCTGTGATCTCTAGAGGTCCCTTCCAATCCCTACAATTCTGTGATCACAGTGAAAGCACAATTTACACTTGGACTTTAACAAGTTAAGGCAGGTTTTATCTTTAAAACCAAGGTAATTAGTGTAATAGCTCTGATGGTGGAAGCTCTCTTGCTTCCAAATGCAATAAATGTTCTTTAGGTAACTTTTTGTTTCACCCTGACCCAAGCATCATAAGCAACAGTTGGACCCTTTGATTTGCCTCTTCTTCCTGCAATCATTCACTTTGCCTCTTGGCACAAAGTGTGCCTTAGCAGTTCCTAAATATCACAGCACTGGAGCTCTTCAAGACGTACACACAAATTCTTAGTCCTCTTCAGTAAGATCACAGTTCAGATAATGGCCTCCCCAAACATTCACACAGATCACATACTTAAGAGGGAGAAAATCTTAAAGATGAAATTATGCAGATGAACACATTAGCTAACAATATCTGAAATTACTCTATGAGGAGCCCCAGGGAATTAGAATTAACAGGAGAAGCAGAACGTGAAAAAAAACCTCTCAGTGTCACTTTGTGCCAAGCATTCAAAAACCACACACAAACTGCCTATAAACTTGGCGATTGCTTCAAGGGGCACAATCACCATAAATCTAGGATAACACACTAGTCTATTCAAAATAATTTCTTAAAGCACTGTTCTGTTGATGATGTCTTTGTTTTATTTCATCCGGCTCAGACCATTCTAGACTGGCTAAGTTTTTCTTTTGTTTATAGAAGGCGACTCGAAGCCATAAGTCTCAGAAAGTCATCAGGATTTTTATTTCTGTGGAGATACAGCTCAAATGCAGATGGCTGAGTATACAAGTGGGAGCTGCAAACGATGCACAGGATTCCCTCATTAGCTACAGGATTCCGTTCTCAAACTTGCACTTCCTGGAAAACAGCTCAGTTTTACTTACTTATGTCACAAATTACAAATGGTTACAGCTCAGCCATACCGCTATCTTCGCTTTTTCCCTAAAAAGATGTGGCCTTGAAATACTATGAATGCCCTACATCAATCCAAAGCAGACTTAAAAAAGAATCATAGTTACCAAAGCTAAATATTGTGCTCAAACCCTTCCTAGCAACATGTTTCTAGGTGACATTTGGCACTGGGTACAGTTTAGGGTAACAACAAGCAAGGACAGAACATGACATAATACAGGACAGTGTTGGTATCCAGCTCCAAACACTGCAGGTAATGGCTCTGAGATGATATTAGAAAGCATCAGAGTGACAAGCAGTACATGGGGAGTAAATCACAGTTTCAGGGTTCCCCGTAGTTACTGAGAAAACTGAACTTTAGAAGAGTCATATGGGTTGCTCTCAAGAATTAGCTTAAAGGAAGAAAATATGTCTTTTATAATAAGAGAACGAAAGCCTCGGATTGCTCCTGAATATACTTATGTAGCATCTGTAACACCTACCTCCCATGGGCTGACTCAATCAGCCACAGAGGGAGAACATTAAGTGCTTTGTCTCTTGCATTGTTAAGGGTTTACAAATAATTTCTCCGATATTCTTTAATACAGTATTACTCCTTGAAAAATACAGAAATGAATGAGGGAAGAGATTTGTAGATTTCCAAGCCCTTCTCTTGCTCATGGATGAATGATTTGATTTAAATATTAGTGATTTTTCTAATACTAAATTGGTTTGCAAATGAGGCCCTACCCACGAGCAGCTCACTGACAGCTGCAGTATTATATCTAATGCCAATCAAACAGAGGACAAGTAATGCATACTTAATACACTTAATATACTTAAGAACACTAGGATGCTTCAGAACACAGTCCAGAGAAGAAGATAAAATAGGAAGGCAGAGATCTCTTACGAACAACAGATTGATATGGCTACAGAACACATCCAGTAAATATACCATTTTTCCTACTGAAAGAGTTAAAACCAGCAGTTTGCACAATGTTGCAATGGGATTACAAGTATCTTAAGAGATCTGGTACTGTCCTTGCAGGAGTGTAGTGAGGCAACAGATGAAACAGCATGATGAAACTGAGGGATATATTTGGAGACATTAGAGAGCAATTTGAACAGCCATTTGGTGAAGCAAATGATTGCCAGCACTGACTGCCCCTCACTGGGTGTGTTACCATTGTACTCTTTGAGAAGAGAATTGACCCTGACTGATTTGTGCCAATGAAAAGGAGATGTAATCTCCCATAGCACAAAATGTGGCATTTGGACTTTTTACTGACAAGCAGAGTGTCAGCCAGCATAGTCAAATGGAAAGGATATTAAACAAAGGCCAGGAGCCCCTGCATCTTACCTTCTTTTAAGAAGTGGTTGAAGATCAGTGAGTGAAAAGTAATAATTCCAGTTATGACCCGTGTAGGGTAAAAGAAAGCTTCTTTTGAACAGGAAAATGACAACATATCTGAAGTGGCTTCTTTTAAATACTTTTACAAAGGGACATTCTTGATTCCTGTTTATCTGATGAAGTACTGGAAAAATACACTGAGTTTTTTAACTAGCATTTTCCTAGAACTAAATAATTATCACTGTTATCATGTGATGAAAAGAGTTCAGATCCAGAGCTCTGAGACAACATACTTAGAATGCAGGAGTCACGGACCAAATGTCAGGGAAGTACAACGCAGGGACAAAGATTGTGTTTGAAGTCAATATTTTGTTAAGATCACATGAAATTGGCAGGTAGAGACAACAAAACCACCGTTCCCAGGGTTTAAAGCAGTTTAAAGGAACATTTATGTGAAATATTTTTGCCAACTGCTGGCAAACAGCGAGGACAACAGACAGCAAATTTCCTAATTCACCATTTTTTTCTACTGCGCTGTGTTTCTGTTTTGACTTTCTTTACTCTCATCAGATGACTTTTCCTACATATATATATATATATACACTAGATTCAGCACTGAAAGCTCATGGGAAATAAACACCCCGGCACGTTGCCACAAGTTGCAGAAATGAAATTAAGTTAAAGATCTGATGAAGTGTCAAGATACGTGGTCTGCATCACACCTATGAACGAAGTATTGCAGGCAGTTTCTCTTGTAAGCTGTTCCTTACTGGTTTTCATTTCTTTTTCCTAAAAGCAAAATCAAAAAAGAAATGCTGGATAAATAACTTCTTAATTCACTCTGCAAATTGACTGTGCAACATTTGGACTCTGACTGGATCCTTTTGTTCTCAGTTCCTGCAAAGATTCTGCAGGCCAAACCAGCCTTTCAAAGACAGTCATCCACTTCCTACATCTTGAAAATAAATCCTACTGTTATCACAGTGAAACCAATCATAACTTAGAATCATAAAATAGCTCGGGTTGGAGGGGACCTTAAAGACCACAGAGCTCCCACCCCCTGCCATGGGCTGGCTGCCCCCACCAGCTCAGGCTGCCCAGGGCCCCATCCATGGCCTTGAGCACCTCCAGGGATGGGCGCCCACAGCTCTGGGCTGTGCCACTGCCTCACTGCCCTGCCTTTAATAAGCAGAATCATAAAGGAGGAATTCTGCCTAATTCTCTATGCACTGCTTTGGCTTTTAAAGAAAGAATACAGCAAAAGGCAAAAAAAAATAGTTTTCGTTTTTACTGAGTCCATAATTTCTGTCCAGAAATTAGCTGAGTGAGAAGGTCCCACCCTGTCATACCCACATACAAGACAGCTGCATTTCAACTGAATACAGTTCCTGACTGATTTGGTTTCTTTGAGTCTCTGAATTCTATCTAAAAATCAATCTCAGAACTCATCATCACCTACACATACACACACCCTCAAAATTAAGACAGACTCAGCTTTCAATAACCTCTACCCAGAGACACACTGTGCTCATTTTCACTGCTAATATTCTCACCATCAGATTAGTGTTACTTAAGACTGGCGAGTGACACTTTCTGTTTCACCAGAAAACACTGTGCAGGTAACAGCAGTGCCAGTTACCTCATCTTCCTACCTGTCTTCTGATTTTGATCTAGATTGCATTGCTCTAATTGACTAACATTGCTATTATCTTAGGAAAACGCTTTAATTGTGGCATCTCTTCCATATATTTTACTACAGCCACTGTTGCCAGCAATACAATGCACACAAACAGTGCCTTTACAGGTGCACTGAGAGTTCAGACTAGTCGTGAATTACAGCTATGAATGGGAATTAAGTAGAACATTCCTTTCTAAGTACTTAGGAGTTGGCAATGCAGGCTCCATTTAGTAACAAAGGTATTAAGCCTGAAGGATTTGGCACTAAAATGGAGCTTCTTTCTGGGGCAGAGATGATTTTACTGAAACATTTGATAATTGCACTTATTATAAGCAAGGGCTGGTAGCATCAATTATTACAAAAGTTGCTTGACATTTCCTATTCATTATAAAATCCTATTTTCAATTGCTGAAAACTTTGCCAACCTTTAGCTAGCCAGGCTGAAATTTTCCATGCTGAGTGCCTCTCTTAGCCTGATTTATTTACTTAAAGAGAGATTTTAGCCAAAACACTCTGCCTATTCCAAGAATAAAACTGGAGAAAAATCCATTGCTTTCACTATGTTTAAAACAAAAATCCAGAAATCTCTACAATTCACCAAAGATCCTGATGAGAAGAGAGTTTTTGTTAAATATGTACCTGCAAAACTCAGAAATTGTTTCAAAGATTTTAATCAGTACTTTTTAGTAGGGGAAAACATCTGCAATAACAGGTAAAAGTTCGCAAGAATATAATAAATTCATTTTCAGTAAAGAACTCCATTCCCCAGCAGCTCCTACATGGTAAGGTTGGGTGCCTCTGCTCTCTTCTCCCTCTAAGCTGAGCGCACAGCATTCAGGACAGTGTTGGTGGAGCTGGGATTTTTTTATTTTGTTTGCTTGCCTGTTTGGTTTTCCCCTGTCTACTCTCCTTCCAATCTGTTTGAGATATGTCCCAGTTTTTAAAGGAAAGGGAAGGTCCATAACTCCTCGGTGTTTTTAATGACCACCTTGCTGCCAAGCCAGTAGTACTGATGGTAAAACTGTCTTGAAGCAGAAAGTGAAAGGTACAGGACTGGGAGGAAGGGAAAGAAACTGCATGAAACAGGGTTTGGAAAGGCAAAGACTTGAGGATGGCCAAAAGTTGAGTGTAGGGTTGTTTTGGAGTAAGATCTGGGAATGAAGAGAGAAAGGAGAAGACAACAGCTGTTGAGGCTGAAATGCCAGAAACGCACTGAGAGGGGCTTAGGAACACATAGCAGCAGTGGACACGCAGGTAGATCATCTGCACCAAATCTGCCTAGTGAGTATATTCTCCTTGAGGTCTCTCTACATTGAATGAAGAAAGCTCTTGTGCCATTGGATTGCTGGTCGGGGTGACCAAACTAAGCTACTGCTTTGAATCACCCTTTGAAGAAACCCTTCTACCTGGGAAGCAAACCTGCAGAAGGCAAAGCTAGACCCTATGAAAGCAAAGGCAAAGGCGAGAGAAGATTCATTTCCAGGGTTGATCAGGAGAGTGGGGCTTGGGGAACATCTGTGAAGAGGGGAAGAGAATCTCTTCATGGACTTATTAGTCCAGGTTTCTGTTAAGGACGGATGAGAGCTGCTACTGCAGAATTGGACTCTACCCCACTCTCTCCACCACAGGGTTGCTAAGCAAATCAGTTAATCCACATTTTTGCAGTTTGTCAGTCATCCTCTTAGATGCTCAATAGGAGTCTGATCTGCAAAAGTGCTGAGCATTCACAACTAGAACTGACACTGCTGGAACTACGCTCTGAATATAGAAAATATTTTGCAGTGCCATGAACTCAGAAAAAAAAAAACAACCACCCACTCAAGAAACAAAAAACAAGCCCCAGACACTCAAAAATCTTTGTTTTTTTGCTTCATCTTTGTATCTGTTTGCCATCTGTCCAAGTGGGGTTGCAGTATCCCCTCACTTCATCAAGGCATTGTGAAGATAGGTTATTTCATGACTGTGATGCACCCAGATACAATAATGATGACTGCTGAGGGAAAGCTCACAAGAAAATTAATAATTCTGTATTGAGAAAAGGCCTTGAATAGCGTGCAATAAATAAGCCCTGGGGCACACACTGAACAATGAATATAAAATATTAAATAGCTGCTCATTAAGTGAGCTGCATCCATCCTGCACTTTAAAAACAAAGCAGTTGTTTAACGGCACACAAGCCTGTGAATGAAGACAACACCATACTGCATGCACACAAAGGCTATATGAACTTGTAGCAACAATTTCCATCTTCACTTTCCTCAAGTTTTGAGTATTTGGCTTAGCCACTTTGTTAGAATGCCAAATTGAGTTACACATGAAAGGGGTCATAGGTCAATACAGATTAGAGAGTGCTGGCTTCCAGAACTGGCTCAACACAAAGTCCAAGGGTGTCTGGATTCATTCCTTTTTAGAGAAGATGACCATAGCATTTCATCTGGATTCAGATGTTTTTGAATTTCAGTGCTAATCAAATGTTAGTCTTCCTTTCCTTCTTCTATTGTGATTTGTTCTCCTTAAGATGGGAGTGCTTCTATGGACCTCTTCATTATCTTGACCTTTAAAAACATTGGAACATGAATCCTGCCATTAAATCCTACTTATTGTTGGTAAATATAGAGGGCATTAAAATAAATGTGGTAGGTATAGGTTTTCCTAAGCAAATTGGGTAATACAGAGCAGAACATGTATTTTTCCCTGTGAAACTAAACTCAAGGAATAAGACAGAAGAGATGCATCAGGAGGATGAGGCATCTTTAATCAAACAGGATGGAGCAGAAATGGATGCAGCCCCATTGGAACATGAAGTGTCTGAAGCATTTCAAGCTCATCACACTTCCTACACACCTCCAACCACATCAAAATGGTGGACAGGAGGAAACCCAACAAAAAGCAACGGGAACAGCTGCACCACAGAGGCACGGGAATATTATGTGAAAAGTGTATCCTTTACTTAGTATCAATCAAAATATGGCAACCACTACTATCCAACTGCCCACAGGGAACATGGGAAAAGCAGAGACTTACAGAGGTGAGAAATCTCAGAATGCATGTGGAACATCTCATTTTCAAAGCAGACAAATCATACAGCTGCACCTGCAGTCATAGAACATAGTAGCATCATCCTGAGATTTGCCTCTTTGCCTCAGCTGCACCCTGTGAAGCCACAGATGATCAATGGACCAGGTGCCACTTCACATAACACAGCCAAAATATTTCTATCTGCATTGTCACCCAAGCTGTCTGCTCTTGAACTGTCAGATACACACACAACAGAATATTCACGAGGTGGCAAGTAAATGTGGTTGAGACAGAATCACACCATTCCAAACTTGCATGCTCCTGAAAGACTGCTTTTACAAAGTCCTTACCCTTAAAAATGTAAACAGAATTGAATGTAGCTGCAAAATTTTCTTTTATACAGTAAGTTATCCCAAATGTCTTGAAAAGAACCTGGCAATAAGAAAAATCCCCTGCAACATTTTCCATGCAGTATAATAAATATCTTTGTTTAATGGGGCTGAAAGTATTTCCTTTTATCGAGTATAAATTCATCAGCTTTCAAAAAGTTATATGTATATTTATAAGTTCTGAGACAGAGGATAGAAGCTCTTGATCCACTTGTG